AACTTTGATAAGTGTCGACGACGATGACTCGAGACTCTTTGTGGAGTGCCGATCGGGCCGTTTCGGGGCCCTCAGAGTCAGGCTGTTTGGATGATCAGAATAGAAATCATTCTCAACTAACATTCAATACATGCTGCGGGAAGTTCAGACACCAGAGAGGAGCTTATTGAAGGAATGAACGAATGAGGAGAGCGCAGAAAACTATAATTGAGCCCAAGGGAGGCGGCCTGCAATTTAAAAAAAAAAAAAAAACATGGTTCCTGCTTGATAATACTAATATCGGAGCATCATGACAATATAAATGATTTTATGCACACAGGGGCCACATTAAAAGGGAAGAGCAAGCAGAAGTGGTGGTTAGTATTTCATTCTGCATTTAGTCTGTATATGATCAATGTCCAGGAGTAAAGATTTACAGACACAGTGAAGCAGTGTGTGATGTGTGAACATGCTTGTGAATCTTAGGAACAATAGATGTTCACACCTATTTAGCAGCTGATCACAAGGTAAAGGTGGATAGCTAGTAGCTAAATATGATACCTATAGGTGGCTAGTTGGTGCTGCAAATGAAATAAATAACAGGAAATCCATCCATCCATTATCTATACACTGCTTAATCCTCACTAGGGGGGCTGGAGTCTATCCCAGCTGACTCAGGGTGAAGGCAGGGGACACCCTGGACAGGTCACCAGTCTATCACAGGGCTACACTTAGAGACAGACAACCAAGCACACTCACATTCACACCTACAGACAATTTAGAATCACCAATTAACCTGTTTTTGGACCTTGTGGGAGGAAGCCGGAGAACCCGGAGAGAACCCACGCTGCACGGGGAGAACATGCAAACTTCACGCAGAAAGATCCTGGGTGTCGCGAACCGGCGACCTTCTTGTTGTGAAGCAACAGTGCTAACCACTGCACCACCTTGCAGCCCAATAAAAGGAAATAAATATTTAAAACTTTTTTTTTTAAAGTACAAGTACTATTTTGATGAATAAAACCTATTTGAATTTAATAGTTTCTGTCATGTTCTCCTACCAAAATATCAGCAAATAAAATACTTTACGTTACTGAGTAAATTCACAGAACAATAAAAGTGATTCATTGTTTTAAAATAATAAAATAATAATGTAGATAATTAAACATGGCAGAATAGCTAATTCACCATAACACCTTCAGGGACTGGGTCAACTTGGTGTCCACTTATATTGAGCATGATGAGGAGTTGTGCAGCCAAAATACTGCAAACTACAAACCAGCTGCTGCAGATTCAAACCCACCTTCACTTCATTCAGCCTCCTGTTCTTTGCTTTCTGAAGGTTTCCAGCAAACAGCAAATTCTATCCACTTACACAAAGTCTGAATAAGAGCTCAGAGGCTGCACCTTAGAGAATTTAATGAAACAACACCGAGCTATCGCTGCTGCTTCAACAGTTACCTTCACCGCTTCAGTGGCAATTCAGGTGCTCAAGTCTGGACACGTAGGCTCCGCCCACAAGGGGGAGTTTTCAAAATAAAAGTTCGCGAGTATAAAAGTTTGCCACTACAGAGATAAATGAGGATTTAACACAATATTTCAGTCGTACAGCGGAGTGCGATATTTTTCAGAACATTTAAATCTTATTATTTTTTAACACCTTTTAGAGACTGACATGCTGTGTGTGGTGTCGTCTGTGAATAACTAACAAAGTTCAGGCCTCTCTGGTGTGGATATGCAGTGAACCCATAAAGATGTGTTAACTGGAGAATAAAAGTGATGTTTTTGTGACTTTGTGTACTAGAATTTGAGATGAAAACACTACAATGATCCAAGCAGAGATGGTTTTTAGCTTTGATTCCACACTTTTTATATGCAAACAGGGTATAAATATAGATGTACTTATTGTAGATGATGTGGAAAAGTGCTAAATTGTACGTCCTAAATGTGACAGCAGAGTGTAGTTTTTCTATGGTACTAATACTTTAGTACCCGTAAAGTATTCACCTCCTTTTTATTATTTTTTAAAACGGAGACTATTTAATTTAGCTTTTTTTTTTTGACAAGAATTTACAAAAAAAGACTATTTCATGTCAAAGTGAAAGCAGATGTCTACAAGGTAATGTTGATGAATTAAAAATATCAAAATAAGTTATTGTAGAAATATTCTCCTACTTTAAAGTGACTCACCTGATTTAACATAGACAACTGGAGATCATCTGAGTATGTCAAGACAATGACCCAAAAGACAGCAAGAAGCTACAGAGAAATGCTCTAAAGACAACAAGGTGAATATTCTGGAGTGTTTGAGTTACAGCCCAGACCTCAATCCAATTGACTGTTCACTGCTGATCGCTGTGCATCAGGTTGCACAGGGATCAGGATCAGGTGATGTCTAAGTCTGATTGAGACCCATCCACACAGGCTCGGTGCTGTAAATGCAGCCAAAGGTGTGAAAACAAACTACAGATCTCAAGCGGGTGAATACTTCTGCAGTATTTTATGTTTAATTTGGAATTATTTGACAATACTTTGTGGAATTCTGTTTTCTTTTTGACATAAAAAGGGTATTTCTTTGCAAATTCTTCTCAAAAAAGCCAAATTAAATTGATTCAATATAGAAAAAAAACAATAAAGGACAAATGTGGTAGAGGTTTAAACCCTTTTTATAGGAAATGTATAAGATGACACTGCTGCCAACATACTCCTGAAGGACTCTCTGTATGTTGTGCTTTCACCCAGTTTCTTAAGAACCACGATGGGGGCCATGTGTTGAAATATCTTGGCTTGTTAAAGTGCAGATGCTTCTAGTAACTCCCTTTGCCAAGTTATCTCTCACTTATATTTTTGGCCTCGGCGGTCTCTTTCCGTGCCATAAGGTAATCCGTCTAGTTTCATAACAAATCTATTCTTGTGTCACACAATGTAAAATGCATTGTAGACAATTTCGTGGGTTTAAACCTTCAAAACATCTTTTTACTGTCCAACCCTTTTTGCTGGTGGGCACAAATCTCCATTGGAAAAACTCAGTGTACAAGATGACAATCTGCTGCACCAGTGAGAAAGTACAGACGTCAGTTCATATGCACCACTAAATTGGTCTAGTACCTGTGCCAGCCAGTGGATCCGCCGCTGTCATAGCACTGTCAGAGATGTCATTATCACTCACCTTCATGCTTCAGGGTGGCTGCCTGGGAAACTGTTTAGATAGAGGTGTCAACGTTAGGTGAGTTTTCAATAGATACTGATCTTTCTGAAAGTTTCATTGTCTCTCACCTTCACATTTGTCATTTGTCACCACGGCGGCGGCGTCCTCAGCAGTTTCAACCCACTGAATCCGACGCAGAGACGGCAGCAAAAGCCACAGCAGGAGCCCCAACGTGTGAAAGGATGGTAATGACCTTCGACAAGCAACACTGTCAACACATTACCATCGGCGGGGTAGTTGAGAAAGAGTGTGACAGGAGGTGTAAATGAGAGGCCCTATTAAACCAGTGCTATGTGAACATGGTGTGATGCTGCTGCAATGACACGTTTCCTCTCACTCGGGTCTTTTTGCTGTGAATGTGGTGCTGCATGTTTTTATATATGATTGCGCTCTATTATGAACAGCGCTCAAGTAAAATGAACTGCTGTCTTTACTGTAGTTTATGGTCAGCTGTCATTGCACCAACAAGCCGAGCATATTGTTGACACAGTTGGCCAAAGTATTGCAATGTGTTGTGTCTCTATTAGCATCCATCTTTTTGCCTAATCAGTAAATAATGATTGTTGGTGCAGTGCTTGTTGGTTGGCTCACTGAAATGTAATGTGAAAGTGAAAAATGCGAATAGTTTGTTTATTTAAGTAGCATTTCTGAGATTTTTTTACTTCTCACATTGGCATTTGTTATTGCCGTTGATGTATGTGAAAAGAAAGTAGGTTTCAAATTACAATGGCCAAACAACATCCACCCATCCTTCCATTATCTACACACCGCTTAATCCTCACTAGGGTCATGGGGGGTTGGAGTCTATCCCAGCTGACTCAGGGTGAAGGCAGGTTCACCTGGACAGGTCACCAGTCTATCACAGGGCTACACTTACAGACAGACAACCAAGAACACTCACACTCACACCTATGGACAATTTAGAATCACCAATTAACCTCAACATGTTTTTGGACTGGGCTGCAAGGTGGCGCAGTTGGTAGCACTGTTGCCTCGCAGCAAGAAGGTCGTGTCCCGGTGGGGGCACCGGAATCTTTCTGTGTGGAGTTTGCATGTTCTCCCTGTGCAGCGTGGGTTCTCTCTGGGTTCTCCGGCTTCCTCCCACACAGTCCAAAAACATGTTGAGGTTAATTGGTGATTCTAAATTGTCCGTAGGTGTGAATGTGAGTGTGCTTGGTTGTCTGTCTCTAAGTGTAGCCCTGTGATAGACTGGTGACCTGTCCAGGGTGTCCCCTGCCTTCACCCTAAGTCAGCTGGGATAGACTCCAGCCCCCCGCGACCCTAATGAGGATTAAGCAGCGTATAGATAATGGATGGATGGATGTTTTTGGACCTTGTGGGAGGAAGCCGGAGAACCCGGAGAGAACCCACGCTGCACGGGGAGAACATGCAAACTCCACGCAGAAAGATCCCGGTGCCCCCACCGGCAACCTTCTAGCTGCGAGGCAACAGTGCTACCAACTGCGCCACCTTGCAGTCCCCAAACAACATTAAAGAAGTAATATCTGTTTGGGATATATTCCAGGAAGTAAACAATGCGATTACCAGTATATTCCCTAATAATACAGTATTATGTCTCTTTAAAAATTCAATATATGTACATTTGCTTCAAATGATCATCAGTGAAAAAGTTTTGACACCATCAACTGGATACAAGCTGCAGTCTGTAAGATAATGACGGTGATTTTAACTCTTATTCCTTGAGACATTTTTCTCGACTTTAAAAATATGAAAACTCATCTAATCAGTTCAAGCTTTGCAATCAAAGCCACCACTCCTCATTTCTGCATCTTTGACAATAAAGACAATCAACTTTAAACAATAAAAATATCAATCTTTATTCTTTGAGATAGCATATCAAAGATAAAACCTTGATCTATAATACCATGACAAATTACACAAGAACTTTACAACAGTAAACAAAGTGTAACCCAATAACGTTCTCTGGATAAGAGACAATACTTCTCTCATTTTTAAAAATTTAATATCTCGTGTGTAAGGAAAATTCTTTTGCTTTGACGTAAAACTTTCGAAATTAGACTGTTTTATTTAGACGTAGCCTCTATAAAATATCCCTCGAGCTGGAAAATGTGAAAAATTCTGAAACGCTGCTGAAATATTGTGACATTTGGTGATTTTTATGGGTGTAATTTCAGGTTTGTAGGCACAAATTGTTCCTCACAGTTTGGAGCAGAGCAGCTGCCTCTGATAAAAATGCTTATGAAATGTAAATGTCACCATTGTTCTCACCATTATCTACCGGCAGGATTGGGTGTAATTATTCATTTCAGGTAAGGTCATTTATTGCTAGATATAGTGCAGTCTCGCAAACAGGGGTACAACAAACTGTATGAAACAAAAAAAAAGCCAAACATAAGTCTACGCCTAAACGATCATCACTGGTTAAAACCTGCGACAAACTTCTGGAAGCCAACAGCTGGAATGAAAGTTGAATTAAGCGGATTACATTAAACATACACATAAATACCTATTCATAAATCAACTCTATATACTGTATGTGCTTCTCTTTAAAACAGAACAGGAAAAAAAAAAGAATTTTATTTGCTTGACAAGTCAGAAAAATGGACAAAAAAAAAACAAAAAAACGGCTGCGTGGGACAACAGCTGCACCCCGATCTTATACAATAATATTAGAATATGAACATCAGCAATAAAAATACAACAGTAAATGAGCAAATGCAAAATGCAACATATGACTGTATTACACGACAATGGCATTATATAGAAAGAGACAGTATGGTTTGGCAAAAAAAAAAAGAGGCTTTAAAAACATCGCAACACAACGGAAAAATTACCGAGGAGGGGGTGAGGGGGACTCATTTTTCCGAAAGCTGCTCCACACTGCTATTGCTTTCTTTTTTAATTCTACAGTGCGGAGGTGTCGACAATACCTTTCTCCGTAATACTATAAACCTAATCTAAATATCCCTACCTAACCCTAGCAACTATACAATACTATACACCACAACACAGAGCGGACCGGGCCAGTGGCACTAAGTTATTTCTAAGGTGAATCTAGTATCATCTCATACGCTGTGCTTCATGTTGTGACGTTTCTCCCCACCTGGACGGCCAAACTTTCTGCGACGTTCTGCACACGACAAGCTCGTTTCTTCTGGATGTTGTTTCTCCTCACACTAATTGAGTCTGATCATAATCTTGCTCCACTGCTGAGCTGCTTACATCTACATATATTCCATTTTGCACCCCACCGCGACAGTCCACGGCTGCGCTGTAATAAAAGCCGACGCTCTCTGCGATGAAATATCTGTGGATTTAACTCTGATTATCCACGATCTGACAACTGTCACGGTTTATTGTAAACAATCCTGAATGCAGACTCAACTGATGGAAGAAAAAACAAGAGTTCTGTACAGCATGTGGGTCGCAGTGAGGACACCATTTTGCTCACAACTGTATTCGTGGAAGAAAAAGATAAGAAAACAGCCCATGGAAGGAAAAATGTGGGGGATTTACTCTCCATCTTGTGTCTTGTAATATCCTGATAAATTAAAAGCTGTAGTTAGGCAGTCCTTCTAGGTAACAAAAATGGTCTTCACAGCATGAGTGTGTGTGTGTGTGTGTGGGCTTTTTCATGTAAACAGAATGTATGTGTGAGTGTGTGCTCTTTGTGCCTGGCTGTGTCCTGATATCATAAACTGGCGAACTGGCTTCCCCCCTCCTCTACATCTCGTGGGACAAGGCTTCGTGTTGAGCAGCGACTCCGTTGGCCTGCGGGGCGATGGGCGGCTGCTCCTCCGGCTGACCGTTGGCCTTCGGCTGAACAGCAGGACCGTCAGACAGGTGAGCGCTGAAGTGGATGTTGGACTCGTTTAGCCGGCGGACGCGATACGTCTCGTAGTGGATGCTGCCCGTGATGTCCTTGATGTTCTGCATGTGTGTCCTGTGAATAAAAAAAGACAGAGTTAGAACAATGGAAGTATTGCTAAAGGCTTTACAGCAGGAGTGTCCAATCCTGGTCCTCGAGGGCCACAGTCCTGCATGTTTTAGATGTTTCCTTCTTCCAACACACCTGATTCAAATGATCAGCTCATCACCAAGCTCTGCAGAAGCCTGATAACGATCCTGATCATTTGAATCAGATGTGTTGGAAGAGGGAAACATCTAAAACATGCAGGACTGAGGCCCTCGAGGACCAGGATTGGACACCCCTGCTTTTCAGCAAGTGACTATGTGAGTACCTCAGAACGTCAGCCAGCAAACAAGGGGCTTAACTCCTGTTTTGGGGGCATAACTATGTACTATAAAGACTTATATCGCTGTCTATGAAAACGCTAGCCGTCATTTCTTTGCAGGTGAGACCCTTTAAGGCGAAAAGGAAACCAAGAAATGGACGAGAAAGAAGCCAGAGCTGCGATTAAGTATGTGCATAGAAAAGAAATGATCCACACAAACATGGTCAACACACTTGGTGAAGACTTGTTATTCAACCGTAAAGAAGTGGGCTGCTAAATTCAAGTAGGGAGAGCAGCAGAGATGGCCTGCGGTCGGAACACCTAACATCAGCGACCTCAGATGATCAAGGCCAAAAATGATAAATGTGTGACGGTCCGACACATGACGATGGACATCAGCGTTCAGCTCTGGCTTCTTTCTTGCTATTTTTTTTTGGTTTCCCTCTCACCTACTGATTTTTAACCTTATTCAGGACTTTTGTGGGGTTATTTGGACCCCAGGCCATTTGGTTTAGGTGATCGGTTTTGTTTTTTTTTATATTTTTGAAGATTTTTTTTTAAATATAAAAAGAGGGACATTTGTCATTGAAACCAAAAATACGTCAACTTATCAGAAAACTTATTTAACATAGTATGAATGTCTATGATGAATACCAACAAATATTTTGTACAAATTCTTGACCCTCTACGTCTGGCAACATGAAAGTCCTGAATAGGGTTAAAGGGCATCAAACCTTTTTGTGGACACTGATATAAAACTTTATAATAAACAGCTATGCCCCCAAAAAGGAGTCATAAGGTTTCCGTGTGAAGCCAAAAACTTTTCAAAGTACTGTGTAGAAGTAAAAGTGTTTTCTTCCCATGTTAATGTCACTATCTACATCATCAGCTTCCATATTTGGTGCAATTAATGTGGATATTTTAAGCTGAAAATGCTGCAAATGTTTGCATATTGTGAGAGTAATATATAAAAAAAACACACTCAAAGAGTGAAAAGCAGGTCGTCTTGTACCAGCATGCTACTTAAACGCAAGGATTCACTGGAGAAACCTGAGCAGCAGTTCCTGTGTCTTTGCAAGCGCTCGAAACGTCTACAGGAATCTCATTTGTATTGATTTTAGCAGGAAAGTGAAGCTTTATCATCATCGCTGTTTTCAATTAATTTCAGCACCTCCACATGATAAAGTGAGCGACTCCTGATCTATTAGGAGGCTCAGTGTATCACGGTGCTTCTACTCCAATCCTGTTATGCCCCTATAGGTCAGAATTTAAAAAAAAATAATAACAAAGGAGTATAATGGAGGCTCACCTGATGAGGAGATCTCGCAGGTAAGCAAACTCACAGTGTGCAATGTTCTCAACTGCAAAGAGAGAAAAGAGGAAACAGATGAATGACTCGGGTTTAGGAGACGAAACTCACAAAACAATCCCGTCCGGTCCTGCTTGAGTGCTCTGCCGCAAAACCACCAAAAGATGGCAGCGTTGCGCACGAGTCAACTGAAGGGCATCCTCTAACATGACATCTCCAGCAATTTTCTTAAGCCAAGATAACACTCTCCTCCACTTTCAAGTAATTTAATACATCTCAGCTTCCCTCTATATTGGAGAACTTTAAGTAAGACGTTTTAACAAACTCCCCATGACAAGCCGCCGCCGCCGCTGACTTCCAGTAGGGCTAACACATGTTTGAATTATAGATTATGTCAAGGGTGAAAATGAAATAAAGGAGGCTGCTATTTATGTAAAGCTTTGAAATCCGGGGCAGGAAATTAAATTCTCTTTGAAAGGAGACGAGTGGAATAACTGCTGGGTCTGTGAACGCTGATTAGTAGCATCAAGGGAACACACGCTACTAACTTGTAACGAGCTGCACCGCCGGTATCTGTCTGCTCCTGGGGTGGCATTCAGGGCTCTCCCCTATATAAGTTTAAATGCATGCCCACTTCACGCTTTATCCCCCCGCACTTCAACCACTGAAAATAAATACTTTCTTCTCCACTCGTGATATATGGAGACTTTCTGGTTTCTCCTCCGAGGCCTAATTTATGAAGCCGGCGCTGTCCAGCAGCTCCGGCAGCTTCCCTTCTCTCTCTCCTCTCCCGTTACTTTTTTCTTCTTTCTTACCTCTTGGCTGTACCAGAATGAAGCCTTTGTTCTTTGTGCCGGACAAGACTGCGTTTGTCCCACAGTTACTTCACCTCAACTTGCACCTCTATGGAGTTGGCTTGCTGAGAGAGTACTAATGTTAAAAGAGGTCGCTGCACTGTCTTGAAAGCGACATTTTTTTGAAGGAGAAAACTCTTTGTACGGATGCATTTTTCAGTTTAAAGGAGGCCTACATAAACACCTGGATGCATAAATAACAACCGTTGAAATTATGAATCTACTGAGCTTCCTGCTCAGAGGTTAACATCAAGACTCGCATTCCCGTACGTTGTTTTAATAATTTCTAAGCGCTGAATAATTCCTGTTTAAGACGATATATATTGAGTTTCCCATGTTTGTCAAGATATCGTTGAAGGTCGCACTCCTAGTGGCCATCCCACTGAATCATAGATAAGGCATCCCTTTATTCTATAGTCTAATTTACATGATATTAAATGTTTTTTTTTTTCTCTCCCCCCCAGAATAATTTATACGTTGCACCATGTTTATAGGACAGCCAATAAACTGGAGCCCAGTGCGCTCCGCAGAGGACTTGCTGAAGGGCGTCCTCAGAAGGAGACAGTGTTTGTTAAGCAGTAATAGCCCCCCGTCCAGGCCTCCTTCAGCTGTCTTCTTCTATTCTCACTTTCTGTGCAGGCAGATGTCCTCTCTCTCTCTCTCTCTCTCTCACACACCCAAGGGTGACGTAAGGACACTCGCTCGCTGAGAACTTCTCTGGCAGCGTTAGCGTGCAGCACGGGCCAACAAATGTAAACTGCATCAAAGTTATTGCGTGCAAGTGTGTCTGTGAGGCAGTCTGAGTGTGTGTGTGTGTGTGTGTGTGTGTGTGTGTGTTTTATGTTTCTGCCTGTCATCCCAAAGGACACAAAGAGTCCCAGTAAATCTTTTCCTCCCGTCTCATGCTCTCCTTAGTTACAGACTCGGAGAAACTTATGTAAACAGGCACCTGGTAGTCGCACAACAGACGGTTGAAGGCTGCAGCCGGGACGGATTTTAAAGCTGCAGCCAATAAGTTTCCACTTGTGCTGTTTTTTTTGCGGAGCTGCTTCACCTTGTTGGTGTTCGTATGTTGCGAAGAGGGACGCTAGATGGCTTTGGCACCGTCATCTGGACAGGCATGTGCCAATTATGAGTACGGGAAATGGTTTTAGTGTTATAGCAAACCATTAGAATAGATTATTAGGTCCAAACGTAGTCGTATGCTTAAAAACTAGACTACTGTTGGTCTGCATTCGTTCTGTAAGAAAGTGTTCATTGATCTCCCTGGTGATTCATTTCCAGTTGTCTGTTTGGCAGTGAAAGCATCCAGCTGTGCATATGTTTGCATTAGGATTCATATAACTTACCCTCTATTGTGCCCCATTTTGTTTTCCTTCCCAGAATCCTCTTCCCGTTCACCTGGTACTCCTGGTCACTGCCCACCACAGCAAAAGGGATCATCTCCTGTTCAATGCACACATGTAAACACACACATGCTCAGTGATTCATGTTTGTTTGTTTGCCTTCTCTACAACAACATGCTAATGATTTTTTTTTTTTTGTGGCAATCCCAGTTTTTAAGATTTCCCGAGCAAACACAGGAAAGGTTCACCCTTCAAAGTCAAATCTGCAAAAACGCACATTTGTGCCGAAGCCACAGGAGGCTTCCCTCCACTGTGGCTGCAGAAATCTGAACTGATTGAAGCCAAAACAGAGAACTTACCCTGATTTTGTCATTGATCATCCTGTCCTCTGCGTCCTCGTCAAACTCTTTCTGAGGGTACACGTCGATGCCGTTGGCTCGCAGCTCTTCCCGAATCTAAATGCACAACGACACACAAAAACATCAGAAAAAAAACCAACCCCCATTGTGACAGCACACACAATTACATATGATGTGATAGTTTATCAGTCTAATGCAGTCTTTAAAATCATGCTACATCATCATTACACAGATTTACATAATGAGATTTGAGACAGACTGAGAGGAAAAAAAAAAAAAGGGGAAGTACAATCAATCATTTACCATTTTACCCAAACGCACTCCATTGTGGTTCTGAACTCTGTTTCCGTGCACGTATAAAGTACTTGAATAAACATTTGGTTATGTTATACTGGCTGGTGCTGACATTAAATTGTTTCTAATATCCTTGACACGGAGGAGTTAACATGGAGGTTAACCGCTCTCGAGAAGTAAAAAAGAAAAAAAAAAAAACAGCCACCCGTATTCTCTGTATGTCTTTATAATGGCTGAAAGTCAGGCCTGGAAAACAGAGAGGTTTCTGACAGAAATGTCCTTTTAATGAATGACTGTTTCCTCCCACAATTACTACTCTGACAATTTCCACTTGGTCCTGGATCAAACATTTCATTGTTTATCCTCAAAGCAGTTCTCAGGGTTACATTATAGGATGCAAGTGAAATTCTACAACAGAAAAAAAGCCACATCAACTGTTGGTTAGAGGAATGTGAGCAGGCATTCACAGCTGGACACACAGAAACCCAACATTTAATGAAAAAAAAAAAAGAAGCCCTCTTATACTGTTTGCATGTTAAGTAGCTTCAGGGGAAAATGGGAGGAGAAAAAAAAAAACATTTGGCACGAGAAGCTTTTAGTCAATAATCTTCAGGGTCACACAGAGCATGTGCGGCCAACCACAACAATCCGGCTACAAGCCCCGCGGCTTCCTCCTCTGTGCCAGGGCCTGGGCCAACCCCTGCTTTGTTCTTATTGGACGCTGTTCCGGGTATCAGAGGGAAAAATGGCAGCCAAGACACCCGTCGTGCTTCCACCTCTCTATAAATGAATAAAGCAGTCGGGGGAGCCTGTATTCTTGAAAGAGGGGATAGAGAGAAGAGATGAAGGAAATGATGGAGGAAGGCAGGTGGCAGAATGCCTCCCGCGGACTGAGAATTGTCCAACAGCAACACACTGAGGAAAGAGATTCAGCCAAGAATATATAAAAACTCAGGCCAGGTGGAGCGAGAACCCCGGTGTAGAGGGAAAGTGATGATAAGAAGGCGAGGGCTGTGAGGTTGCAGTGATTATCACACCGAGGAGTCTAGCATGTTTGCTTATAATAACACAGCTGTAATCTACGAGCGAGATACGCACCCCAGAGGAACAAGAAGTGACAGAGCTGAGATAAGATCTGCCTTTTATGAATGAGTGAATGCAGTGTAGCCTCTATATGTTTGCTCAATTTGATCACGTCGCCTTATTTAGTGTAGCTTGTCTTAGGATTTAAAATTCTAAAGTTAAAGGAGATATTAGAACCTCACATGAAAAATCAGGGATGTGCAATAAATCTAAACATCTGATTACACAGAAGTCATCATCATTTGAGTCGATGCATTTAATATTTTAATCTTAACAAAACTTGTAAACTAATGAGCTACCACTGAGGCATCAAAACATATGATTAATGCTCATTATTAGCTTCGATTTTCTTTCTTTCTCGTCGTGTTTCAGTGCTGCATTGTGCACATAATCCACTGGTATTAAAGGGCCTGTATGCTCAGCTGGCAAATGGGCAGAAGCTCCACATCTAAAAAAAAAAAAAAAAAAGCGCCGGACCTTACAGTTGCCGCTCATAAAATAAATGCGTCAGATAAACAGCTTTTAAACGCTTCCGTCTGGAATGATTTTCAGAGTGTAACCGTTATGGAGGATGACGCAGTGTTTCCCAGGACGGCTACGATGTGTGTGTTTGTCCAGGTGGCTTCGGTTTGTGTTGCCTGGCAGCTCTCTGTGGTACCAAGCGGTGGTTAATGACACACGTACACCTGCGTTTATGACGTGAATCTGCCAACTGACCTACTGATGCGTCTATTTTATTTTGAAGAGCTGCTACAGGCTTTTCTTTTTTTTTTCTTTATGATGACAGGAAAATGCAACCAGATCTATTAATGTCACCAGCGAGAACCAGGTCAAATTATTGTTGGTTAAAAACCCCACTGTCATTCAGACGCCTACGCACGTCCAGAAATACACTGCCTGCTCTCACCGTCTGTTTGAAGTAGTCCCTCTCCTCCAGGGTGAGTGTGTCGGCCTTGGCGATGACGGGGACGATGTTGACCACCTTGCTGAGGCGCCTCATGAACTCCACATCCAGAGGCCGGAGGCTGCAGGAATACACACACGACAGGATACAAGATTACTTCAAAATTATCTGCAACTATATGATTCTGCAGCTTGGATGTTTGACATTAAAGTGTATGGGGCTGCAGGAGGAGCAACTAGGTGGAAAACAACTCATAGATGTTTGCATATCTGCTCAAAGAAAACCAAGATGCATGTCTTTTTTTATTCTTCTTGTTTATGAGACAAAACTGTGGCTTCCACACTTGGATCTAAATATTTTTTCTTTTTCTGTCTTTATCTCTGTGCTATTAGGAAAATATCTTCAACTACAGGAAGAAGAATTTTTACAATATGGATGTAATAAAACACTCCCACCATTAGAGGGCAGTCATGGTCTGTTCCAGTACATTCAGTCCATCCTGGTTTCTGATGTTGGCGGCACTCCACAAATATCTATCTATATCTCTATCTCCATTTATACATAGAGAGAGAAACTAACATCATAAAGTAAATGCTGTTAGTCTTTTCTACACCAACTGAAACCATTTTGCCAAAGTCTGATTTCAGTCAATTGTAGAAGAACTTAATTCACTAAACAGTCGTTGCACTGCCGCTCGTTGTCTGCCATGTTCCCATTTGTCTTTAATATTCTGCTTCTGCTTAACTCAAAGCAAATTTGGATGAAAGCACATTTTCCTCATCGCCTTCTTGGATCCTCTGTGTATTAATGTGTTCCACTAAAGTTTTCACTTTTTCCTGTCAACAGCCTGCGATCTTGCCCAGTGTAGGAGTGATTAGGGTTGTCCTGCTACTCTACACATTACATCTCTGTTCTGTTCCTTTTTTTTGGTCTCAGTGTTGCCTCCAGTTGCTCCTCCAGACAGCCTCTCTTCATGCTGTCTGCTCTGCCCTCCAATTAGCCTCAGCCAAGCCAGGCGAGCCCGGTTCAAAGACTGCGGGGCAGCTGGAGGGGAGGCCTGGTTGGTTCTGCACAGCCACTGACAGACATGTCACCATCAAAATAGGATGAAACACTGGTGAACATGTGTTACACGGAGCGTGGCGTAGAGCAAAGGAGAAATGGAGCAAGAGCAAAGGTAAACAGAGATGACGCGTAAGTGGTGCATTCGAACCCTCTGGGGACAAAACATAAATGTTGAGAGGATGGAGAGCGAGACGTTAAAGAAAAGAGAAGGAAGACCAAAACACGGGTGGTTAATGATTGTTCTGTGTCAGAGTCAATTATAACTGCATGCATGAATATAAATATGTACAAAGGTAAGAATGCACAAACAGGCACGTGGGCTGCATCACATGCATGAGTGGGCAAACATGCACACTTCATATGTACACATGTTTCCTCGCACACAAGCATATGGACGGTAAATATAAAATATACATGTATGCACGAATGCACAGATGTGCAATCATATGTTTGCATGCATGCACAAATCTCCAGTTTGTGTGGTTGAGACAGACAAAACAGCAGTCATGTTTCAATAAACTGAGAACGGTGAGCTCTCTGCTCAAATGAAACGTGGAGAAAACTATCAAGCACAGTTCAAACAGCCTCCCCTCTCCCTCCCCTCTTTCTTTTCCATAATGGATCACAAACCAGTTGTGAGTTGATGAGAGTCAAAATGCAGCCTTCCTTTTCTCAGGAACGACATGTTAAATGAGGTAACAACAAGGCTACCCAGAGGGAAAATAGTGCGGCTGACTCTGCCATTATCGGAAATGGCTGCCGATGCCAAGACTGTGTTGTGCTTCACTGAGCGCTGCTCTTCTATCTGAAACCACAGACGCAACTTAAAGTAAATTGCTTGCAAATTGCATTGGAGTCGAGATAAATACAAACTGTTGTTTAAGAAGCTTCAAACAAAAAAGCAGTAAATAAAAATAAACCCCCCAAAAAACTGCACATCTTCAGTGATAGAGGCCTATGAGACCTCATTCTGTCATCATTTTCCTGCCTGTCATTCTTGGTCACATGGCAGAAGCATCCAGAAGCTTTTGGCGCTGCGTCTGTGTGTAATTGGTAACAGGCTCTAATTTAAAACTTCAACTGACATTACTGTGTGAAGTGAAGACGAGAAAATAAGCAAAAAAAGAGACTAAAAGAGTGAGATTTTAGAGGTTTTAGATACGTTCTAGTACTTATTTTTCTCATGAGTCCAGCTAAAATCAGAGGGAGGATCACTGCTGCTGATACAAAACGATTTTTCCGTGCACAGAAGTACAACTGCAACCCTTAACTGTAGCTCTGTATTTGTCACCTGGCTGCGAGGAAGACACCACTTCCTGACAGACGTTTGCATCTTAAATTTCGAGATGAGTGTGAACTTCCTCGTGTTCACCGGCGTGTTTTGGTGAAGTGTGCACGTCCGCTTATGTAAAGCGCATGTGTGTGTGTGTGTCAGTGACAGTTTGATTACAGCCTGCATGGACACGACGTTGGAGATTGGAAACGAAAGAGTGAGTAGAGGGTGTTGAACTGGCTGAACTCTGCAGCTGCAAGCAAGACGATACGCATCCAGGGCATCCGCACAAGTGCTAGCATGCCCGCTGCCCACTTGAGTCCACTGCTTGGGCCTCGCTCCGCATGAACAACGGTGCACACATTCTCTGGAGCAGCAGCTGTGGCGACGTGAGCAGATGATGAGGGGGTCTGTCAAACAGCGGGACGCGCATGTCATCCCCCCGCTCGGAGAAAGAACGTCTAAGTGGACAACTGTTGAGTTACTGGCGCAGAGAAATGTGCAGCAGCAGCGGATGGGTCTGTCTTTTGGACATGCAGCTATAGGGCATGTTTACAGCTGCTGCACGCGAGTGTTTTAATCTGCATTTGCACAATAACGCCCCTATCGAACCTTTAACGCTCCGAGCTTTGCCGTGTATCTGCACAAGCGGCTGCGTGTCCTCCTCGGTGCACGTAAGGACGCATCACCGTTACGTCGAGCAAATTACAGAGTCGACCGGGAGACAGCAAGTCCAATCACTGACAAAGCAGCGAATGTGGCTTGAGTTATCTCAGCACGACTGAAGCGAGCCAAAGCAAACGTCATGCAAGTGATGCAAACAGCCTCCAACTGTTTGCTCAACACGACCTTTAAGGACAACTTGAGAGAGACGTGGTCAGTTTTATTTCTGCAAACCATCATTTACACTAAACACAATCGCTTTTTTTTTTTTCCCTGCTCAGGCTCCAAGTTTGTTCTTCTACTGGCACAGAGGCCCACCAGTGATTCTACTACAGACGGAGCCGTGGTGTCCCCATGTCTCCGTTTAATCAGAGATAGTTAAACAGAGAGAGGATGAGGAAGGAGACAGATCAATAATGAAGGCATTACAGTGGGAGTTCCAAGTCTTTGTGAAATCTGACTCTTCAAGTGATTCTGAAGTGTCTCTGAGGAGAGAATGAGTTCCACATGTGGTCATGAGAGGGTGAGATGTAAAAAAAAAAAAAAAAGAAGCTGGAGAGGGACGTGGTTAAAGAGCTGTGGACAGACACTGGGTCATGGGAGATTCCCCGAGGGCCTGATTCATCTCAGTACTTGTGGGAAATAAAAGAGGGGCACTTAGGAACAAGGACGCCGCTCTTTATTACGTGATCTCACCAGTGGCCAGTGGGAGGTATGAAGTATATGCAGCAGTGAACCCTGGAGTCTGGGATCCTTTTCTTCCTGTTGATGTTGATCTCCTCCTGCAGGTAGACTTCGTACTGGTCGTTGATGAACTTCATGATGGGCTGCCAGCTGACAAAGGAAACAGAGTTATTAAAAAGGGAAAATTCACTTTTTATAAGCTCAAGTGTGTTCCAGTTATTCAATCTATAGCTGAAGAGGGACAGTGATTGTTCTCTGCTTTCATTATGTTCTGCAGCTTTACACCATATATTATTCTCAGAGAAATGTGAAAACATGTTTTTCAGAACAATGCAGCCTCTTTGACCTTTTGCCACCACAGTGATCACCCACTACAATCATACTTCAGTCATATTTCTTCTGATGCAACACATTCAAAGCTGTGAATTATGAATATTTTGTACCTTTAGGAATTCTGTGCAAAATAAATCTTTCTACATACAAATCGTTGCATTATAGATCAAATCTGCACAATAATAATACCTCTTTATCCATGTTTCTACTCATGAAAGAATCGGTGCAATGCCATTGACATGTGCAATATTGGTATTTCTACATCCAGAGGAATTTGGACAATAGGAACTAGTGCCTATGTAAGTTTTTGTATTTCTTAAATGCTCGCATTGTCCCCTTTTGCTGCTGCAACGATGCAAATATCTTGTCTTTTTTTGTTTTGTTTGTCACTCGTCAGGTTCAATGTGTTTTCTGTTACAGGATTCCAGTGCTATCATTTGTTTTCTGCAAAACAAATGCACCCACGGGTATTAATAAAGCAACCTTGACCCTTGAATATCTCCACTGTGGGATTAATAAAAGCTTATCGTATCATATTGCAACACAGCATCGCTCCGAGTGACATAAACTGCTTTGTAACGTCCAAGATGAGTTTGAAACATTTCGTCGACTGCTTAAATGATGTATTTTTGTAAATTCACCTTGTACACGAACACATTTTCCTCAGCTACAGCCTAAAAATCACTCATATGAACTTCAGAGGCATCAAACTTTAGGTTTAACAAAATCCTGTAAAGGCAAAAAGCAGTCGTACTGATGCCATGAAGGAAGCAGCTTCATAAAAAGCTACTGATCAGAGGAGGTAAACTTCAGCTCACCAGTTCTCATTGTTGATCTGATCTCCAAAGCCAGGAGTGTCGATAACCGTCAGCTTCATCCTCACACCTTTCTCCTCGATGTCTGGACAAAGAAAAGCAGTTTGATTAGTCTCATTAAGGATTCTGGAAAACAAAAGCAGAAAAAGACATGTTGCATATTAATTAAAGGTTTTGAGCTAAAACACTGGCCGACCGTGACTGATGGACTTGATCTCGATGGTCTTGGGAATCCTCTCCTCTGGGTCGGGCTGCACTGATTTACGGCTCACCTTGGATTTGAACAGCGTGTTCACCAGAGTGGACTTCCCCAGGCCACTTTGCCCTGAGAAGGAAAAAAAAAGAGGAGACACACAAACAACGTTGAGAGAAAATAGGAACAAATCCAGCAGCGTTTTTAACCCTTGACAGTCACAAGAGCCTATTTCAGACTAAACCGCTAAAACATCTCTGTAAACAAAAACTGAAGAGGACCGAGGCTCGTGTTGGTTGTGTAGCGAGCGTACATGTGGATGTGTTCGTGTCTCAGCAGACCAGACGCCCAGCAGGGTCAGACGAGCAGCTTGTGGAGGCCAAGAGGACAGATGTATAGACCACACACACACACACAGAGAAGATACATGACCCACCAGAGGATGAATTCCCTCGTGTCGTGTCTGCAGGGCTGCATATTTCTACTGAGCATGCTTGTCTTTGTGATATATTGTAAAATAAACATGAATCTAACATGGCACAGGGAGGCAATAAGGCATGTCAGGACAGTCTGTTTAAGCCTTTTGTTAAGAACAACAAACCGAACAATCACTGAGGGGAAAAAAGAAGCTTGAAATGTATTTTTGAGACATCATTAGGGCTGTTTTTTGTTTTTTTTAGTGAAATAAAGCTATGCTCTGCAGTTGATTTCATGTTGTTTAAATTCATATAATAGAATTCCCCCTTGCATAATGCATCATTATTAAAATAGAGGCTAGATTATGTTTGATATTTATTAATTATTACAAGTGCCACACTTGATATATAACCAGGATTAGTCCTACACATTGTTGACATGTTGGGTGTTTGTCTCTACATGTCTGTTCTGTTAGATCTTTACCTCGAGTGTGAATTTATTTCATTTAAATATTTTGAATTCAGGGAGCAGTGGTGAAAAGTACATTTACTGTATTTTCATTTTAGGCTACTTCCATTCTGCTACATTTCAAGGGGGAGGATTGTACTTTCTGCTCCACTGCATGTACTTGAAAGCTTCATTTACTATTAAGATATTGATTCTACACAACAGGTACTACAACAAGCTTTTTTTCCCCAACAATTTCCCTGAGGTTCTACCAAAGGGATCAATAAAGTTTTGTCTATTTTAAAAACACATTATTATTGATCACACCACTTGTGTCTGCACTTATATCGCGCTTTTATCCAAAGCACTTTACAGTGTTTCTCATTCATCCATTCACACACATTCATACACCCTAACCCTAACCCTAACCACATCAACGGTGACAGAGCTGCCATGCTGCCTGCCATTGGGAGCAGCTTCTGGTTCAGTGTCTTGCCCAAGGACACTTTGACTGTGGAAGGGCGGGGGAACGAACCGCCAACCTTACAATCAGAGGACAACCCGCTCTACACCTGAACCACAGACGCCCACTGATATGAAAAAAAAAGAAGCGATGTGTAGTCTGGGTCTCACTTGAGACGTCTTTGAGTTGTCAGCAGCTCCAGCAAACATTGATTTTTTTCCTCTAAACTTACATGATCGCATGGTTTAATTTGAATAAATGTTCAAATGATCCGATATCTCACCGAAAATCACAAAGTCCCAAACTGAAAACAGATTTGTGTATCAAAACTTTGTTTCTCCTTCTTTCCTCTCCCATTAATCATCTGACGATGTATATACGAGTGTGTATAACGTAGTTCAAACAAGCTCCATCTCCAGCAGCTACAACAGCAAAATGCTGTTTACACGCTAAAGCTTCATAATTAATAATCTAAAGATGCCGTAATGTATCAAAGAGACCAAACCATGGATTTTAATTTAATCCTTCAACCACATTTCGCTGCCAGTACTTCTGGATGTTTATTTAAATCGGATTGTTCATTTGGTGCTTCTACTTGTAATGGAGCGTTTTTACATGAGTGTGTTTGAAGAGTTCATTTGCAAAAACAGAAAACTTTTTGTAGACTTTCAGAAAACTTGTTTTGTTTGAGATAAAATCAATCAAACTGAAGTTGAGTGGATTTGACTCAGTAGAAATGACATGACAAAAAAATAGAGATAACTTAAGTTTGATTGATATTGTCTCAGGTAGACGATGGAAAAGTGGGTTTTCTGACGGTTTGTGATGATGGAGTTATCTGTTTTTGCAAATGAACTCTTCATATGTGCTTTTATTTTGGTAAAGGATCTGAACACTTCCTCCAGCACTGTCAGGGACGGATCAAGCAAAGTTTACAGTGTGACAGAACATCACAGAAATAGAAGGCACTTTGATTTTACTATGCAACTTAATACATTTACAACATTTATTATTTGTTCGATCAATAGAAAAACATAGTTTGTGCTTTCTTTGACACTGATAGGATCCCAGTGATACATAATCTATTTTATTTTTTTAGTTGTTTAAGGTAACATGTTCAACAATGCTGGTTTTTTTTCTTTGCTAAAAATAATTATTACGTAAACCTGATCCACACATATTGCCGGCTCCCTGTTTGCGGCCCCTGCGGGCGTTGGCTGTGGCTGTTTGGAGCGTCTCTGAGCTGCCAGACCTTCTGCAGCACTCGCGGCGCCTCCATCCACCTCTCTCTCACCTCACACACACTTCGCTTGCAGTCGACTTAATTGCACACATTCCCCCACAAGCGGACGCTCACATTTTCTTTCTGCGTCTCGCTGGCACACACATTCAGACACCTTTCGCTGGAGTCAACTCGCTGAGGGGAGGGATTAGGCAAATGCATTGTCCGAATGCCACAACACCACAAGGGACAGGGCCAAGACCGCAGCTGCTCAGACCTCTCACGTCCCAACTGGCCATCCAAGTGACAAATCTGTTGCCCAAAACACATGCTTTACTAGAATCAGAAAAGATTATTGCTATTTTTTTAATGCATTCTTTCCATCTCAAATCATTAGATTTTTAGAACCAGCTGTCTCTGATTTGCCTGAAATTTTAATGGGATAATATATGTGCAACAGTTTATCTTGACACATCAAATACCTTCAAAAATTGCTCTTTTTTTTGCTTTTTAAATTATCCGTCGACCTACTTCCAGCACATTTTTTTTGCACATTGAAATTTGAGCCTATCCTTGAATAACCATATCTCAGGAACTGTTGAAGATAAAAGCCTGAACTTGTTTCTCTTCCTGCTGTTGATCCAGATTCTGCCGTACTGGACAAATACATCAAATAATCTCTGATTATAGATGAGTTGAAAGATGAAGAAAACAAATTGAAGGCATCATGTAAAACCTCATCTTTTAGCAGACATAAACAAAAGAAAAAAAGATAATGCAGAAGTGTACTGGTGGCACTCTGAACCTTATTTAGCTTGGTTAGAAAAATGAAAAAAGTTAGTTTTTGGTTTTAATTTCACAACTGATTGAACAGGAAGTATATATAACACATAGAAAAATGTCTATGCGACTAGTATATCGATAGTTTTTGATTTAAAAAAAGGTTTCAGGCAAATCAGAGATGGTTGAGCAGCGGCTGATACCCTCCATCGCTTCACCTCATTAACATAAGAAAGCTAATCACACCCACAGAGAGCAGGTATCTGACTGCACACTGCAGCATTGAGCAAGAGGTCAACTCAGTGCTACAAGTAACTCCCAGTTGCCACTCGTCCTTGTGTCTGAATGGTTACAAAACAACGTCAAACGTCTGACGAAGCAAAGGGATTGAGAAACGTTTCTCAGAATTTTATGAGCCAAATCTAAAAGGCAGGTCGATACCAGCCTCACAGCGAGAGGGAAAACTCCAAAGATGAGTAAGGCAAGCGTTTCCTAACACCAAGAGGAACTCGATATGTTGGTGTAGTTCTGTCAAATCAAAGCTCCCTCCAGCCAATCAAGCTCCTCATTGTTCTCTTCTGGTGTGAACTTCTATCATATTTCCCCTCCAAGTCTCCAGCGCGGGTGTCGTTTAACGGTGTCGCACGCTAAATCGAGTTTCATTCACTCTTCAGACTGCGAGTGGATACACGTCAGCGTTAAGTAGAAATGTGCAGTTTGCTTACATCGGTAATGAAAACTGGGATGCACATCTGAGGAAGATTAAAGACAAAGCTGCTGCAACTCCGGCATTTTGTTTTTCTCTCACGAACAAATATTCACTGAGTCACGCTTGTCGTTACTGTTCTCACTTAAGAAGCCGTCGTAACACTTTCACTTCATTCCTCAGCATCTATAAATCAATACGCCTCTTTTGATGAACGGTTTCCATGCAACAAGTCCCTGTCTGTCAGGCTGGAAGATGTCTCCTCGGAGCTGCGCTGACATGCCATCCATCTGCAAAAACTCAGCCCTGCAGGGCCCGAAATCAAACCCAATGCATTCTAACGTGTCAATATGAACGTAAACAAAATAAAATAGCTAAGGTAGTTAATGCCCTACATCTGTGTGTGTGTGAACCCATTCTGACATTCCTTTCCCTGAACACATTAGGTTTGTTTCTGCTGCATATATGCATGCATGTGCACAGGTACAATCATGTGTCATAAGTGTGTGTGTGTGTGTGTGTGTGTGTATAAGGCTTGATATTGAGACCTAATAGTAGTGTATAGCTGCTCTCTAAAGAAGCACGAGAGCTCCCACAGGAGTGTGTGCTTCAGCTTGTCATAGTAATCACAGTCATTATGCCACTTTCTCAGCCTGACAGCCTCTTTAGATCCACTCAAGTGAGTGTATTTGCTTGTTACATACACAAAAGGAGAGAGTTTCTTGAGGACGGCACCACGTTGGCTGACTCGTACCAGAACAAGTCAAGTAAAACCACACGTGTAAAAAGCTTCTTTCTTTTTTTAAATGGCAGCTGATTAAAGGTTTTTATTACAAATCTAATACGACATCTTCCAGGTCAAGAATGTGCAAACTTTACATGTTGTGTATGTCCTGTTTCTATGTGACAGTCACAATGCAGACGTGTTGTGTGTGTTTAACGCTGACTTTAGTGTTGCCACCGTCAGCTGACTCCATGCTTTGTTCTACATTTTGTGTTGCTGCTGCATAAACTGAAAATGTTTTAAATGGTTCCCATCTGATCCCTTTTTTTTTTTGTTGCTGAATTCAGTACTGACTCAATAACTGCTGTAAACACAACACATTTGGGATCAATTACAGCTTTATACCCTCTTGGATACATCTGCGTCAGCTCAGATTTGGGGAAAGTTTTATCCAAATCAAACATGAAGACATAATGGAGCTCAGCGGCCAGCTCATGCTCAGGCCGGATAAGAAGCAGAAATGTTACATCTATACCACGGATTTTAACAATTCAAGGATCAGCTTTTCTCACCGTTTTTGATACGCAATCATTTAGAATCCTCCACATAAGGTTTGGGATAACAACTCACCTACTACCATGATGTTGAGCTCGAAGCCCTGCTTCATGGCCTTCCTCCTCATCTGCTCCAGGATGGCGTCGATGCCGACATAACTGGAGTCTCCCCCGTGGGTCTTCTCCCCTTTACCTTGGGGTTGAGGCTTGGCGGACTCAGACATGTTGCTGTGGCTCAGATTGACCTCTGACCCTAAAGGACACAGAGTAAAGACATGATTTATGTTATGATGTATGTGTGAAGCATGATGATGATGATGTTTGAGCAGTTAAGTCTACAAATTTGGAAAGAAAAGTGGAGGCAGCAACCTCAAAAAGTGACAGCACAGTATAGAAATCGCATTAGCAGCAGGTTGAGTGTGAAGACCTTCTAAGATACTGATCTGAGCAGCTCATTTCCTGTGTGAAACAGGATACCAGCCTCAAAATTCACATTTATGTGAAGCCACACTTTATACAAGTGAACATGCAGAAGTGACGATCTATCATCAGAAACATACAGAAACATCTGCTCCCTAATGCTGCATAAACTGCATCCAGAAACCACCTCGTGTTAGCAGCCCAGAGACATTTTGACTTTTCAGAAATAAATGATGTGGAAGTTGTAACCACAGTGAAACTTTACAGCTGCTTTTTTTCTTTTTTCTTTTTTTCTTTTTCATGACCTTAAACGAATCAGGAAGACAAAACGCACAGACCTTGTCGGGAGAAGCAGCGTCCAACTACAAATCACAGCTTACCTCACTTTAAGGAGGACCGGTTGCTAGAAGACGAAGGCCGCGTGCCAAAGCGCCGCTGCAACAAGCAAACTCAAACACAACTCGGCTCTGCCAGAATGTGCTAGTACGTGCTCGCAGCAGAGGCAGCGGTAGACGACTCACTCCTCTTAATGTAGGAGGAGACACCGTTTCCTGTGCTGTGACACAGACGGGTGGCAGCATCTGTGTGAGGTTTGCAGACGCTCGCGACCACATATACCTAAAGCTGAATGGAGGCAGACCATCCTGACCGTATCTTTTATGTCTTTTTTAGGTGAGCAGACAATTACATCCCGACTGTGACAGTTCAGGCTTTATTTTGGTCTGTGAGTGCTCAAAATTCCAGCCATTTCCATGTTTTCTGGACAAATATAGAAGCCTTTGATTTGTCTCTCTCACACCACAACACAACGGTCCGCCTGTGACACGTGTTTACGGCATTATGCTTGTTGACGGTATACACGCAAATGAAGCAAACAGCCGGCCTCAGGAAACAGAAAACAGAGACACATGTACACTCTGATTAAGGTCGACGGTATATCTCCAAAGATTCATCATAACCACGTCTTAATTAAACAGCGTGGAAACAGCGCGTGCTCTGTGATCACAGGCCTTCCTGCTTCACACATCAGATATGTGCACTGACATGATGGGATGTTTGTGCACACAAATATGCGCTAATCTCACCCTTGAACAACAAAGCTGAGCGCCTCTAAGACTCAAACACCCCTTTCTTCTCTTCCAAAGAAAGACAAGAGAGCTACAATTTTGGACCATATGGAAAGGGCACCGCACCTTAAAGAGTCTCTATAGCATCGAAAGTTTCCCTTGCTTTCAACTCTCTGACAGTCTAATGGTTAAATGATGAACTGTGCCGAGAAGCCAATTGTGGCTTGGCTAAAACTCTATAGATGCTATTATCATCTGTCAGTAAATAATCACCAGACAAGCTTTAGTTTTTGTATTTTTTTTTGTACAAGATGCAATTTCCCTTTAAGCTACGATATTCATTTTACCAGGAAAAAAAAAAATCATGGCAATTCAGGAGCACAGTTCAATCCAAGCTGTAATCTAAACCCTCTGATAATACCGCATCCCGGTGAGCTCAAGCTGATTTAGTGCAGCGCTGTTGACTTCAAGAAACCCGACACGGAGCCGCCGTGACTTGGAGGAGATACAATAATCGCGAGGTATTTGAGTCGATTTATCAATTGCTTGTCTTTGCAAATGTTTGTATGTGTCACAAATTGTCATTTGGCTAACCCTGCGCTGAACTCGTACTACGCTGAGCGCCCCGACGGCATCCAGTCGCCTCTTGAATGACAGAATGCAGATTAGCTCTGATGACACGGTCCAGGTCTGCAGCCAAACTGGCTTCTGGGCGGCGTGACCGTGCCAGTCCTCCGGCCATCTGCTGGCTTACGAGGCTGCTCTCTGAGAATAGACGCACTGTAGCAGAGGCGCACATAGAAAATGTGAGACACGTGTACAGGCGGTTAAAAAAAAAAACAGGAAGAACAAACAGCAGAACCGGGAGAGTCGAAAACATCTGCCTGGCAACCGCCCTGCAGCTTTGATGTGCACTTCTCCTTCTCCAACAGTTTCATTATTATCAGCGCTGCTTCCTCATGATCCACTTTCAGTCTCAGAGCTGCGGATTAGCCGACAGTTAGCAATCATCTGCTTTTATTCAATTATTTATGGGCCTTATGTATGCGAGTGACAGCTCTGCCATTAAGTGTGTCTCCAGTCGAGCGGTGCGTTTCACGGGGAAAGCGTTAATAGCTTCTGCCGCAGAAAAACGACATTTCTCTGCAAAGCTCATTATAAACGAGCGGGAGCATAACTGAGATCACGACTTAAGTTGCTTCAGCGGTTGAATCCAAACTGTTTTCGAATGAGAGCGACTCGAAGGAAGCATCAGAGGTGTGAAACTGGAATCATGTGTGAGGAATGAACTCATGAAACAGCTGAATCAATGGATCTAAATGGACCACTTAGAGGGGGAATCTGGATTCTGAATATTTAGGTAGTTTAGCCCATAGACTGTATAAAAGATGGACGTAGCAGCCGGCCCCGAAAAACGAAGCCAACCCGGAAGTGTCAAAAACCTGCAATATCACTACGTCCACTAGCTGCTGGCTCCAAAAAGCCCTGGCTCCCATAGACTTGAATTGGAAAAGAAGTGATCACAGATCACCAAATACCGCATTCCTACAGCTCAGGATTTTCTCTTATTAGTTTTCATGGTCAAATCCAGAGATCAGGTGGCCAATCTGAAAATAAATCAATACTGAATTTTTAAAAAATCGTCAACATTTTGCGGGACAAGGGGCGTGGCTGGATTGATTGACAGTTGGCAGCGACCATACAGATGAAGCGAGCAGAAGTCGGTAAATGTGGGCGGGCAGAGAGGGCCCGCCTCTCAATCCGTCTGACCAATCGCTGCTCCTATGGCTCCGCCCCCCTCCGACGATTTTTGCGTCACTGGCTCCAAAAATCCAAGATGTCAACCAGGAAGTAGCAAAACCCTGGCTTCATTTTCTCAGTGCAGAAACCAACGGGTGACGTCACGGCAGCTACGTCCATCTTTTATACAGTCTATGGTTTAGCCACATTTACATAGTTAGCATGTGCAGGATTTATCATCCCCTTCACTTCAACTGCCCCTTTTAATTGAAAAAAAGTTTGACCCTCCTCTAATCTTCCTTCATTAATAAACAAATGAATGAAAACAGCTTTATTAAACTACAAACAGATGCTATGAATGATCACCTCCCGCTGAGCAGAGGAGTTTTTTTTTTACCTCATGACATTCAAAAGCAGCATCTTAGGATTAGAAGCTTTGTTTAATGAATGGAGATGAGTTCAGGCTTTTCTTTGCATGAACGGATAGATCGCATCAAGGGATTATTCTTTCCTCAGTTCAAATGAGGGGGCTGTTTTAAGGTTTATCACTGGAATTTACATGTGCATCTTTATATTTGTGAAGGTGCCATCTTGCTGTTTGTTTACGGTGTGCACAATACAACAAGGCTTTCTCCAAATGTGTCTTCATTTGAAAGCGCTCCTAAGTCACTCTTACAAAAAGGAGTTTCTGTCGTGTGTTTTATCTGGTACTTGTTTGGTTTCCTGTTTGTCACCGAGAGCTTCGCAGCAGACAAACCACAGCTCTTACATCCGCACTTAAAACGCTTTGTGTAGCTTGAAGCCGTGCTCAAGAAAAATTCGCACCTGAAGATCAGATCACTCTCCAGGAGAAGTGCTACAGGTGTCCAGCGTCTTCCCCCGGCTCTCGAGGGAGATTTGCGAAGCCTGAGAAAAATACCCCCGATGATGTCAGCCGTGTCATCGGGGTTATTTCAGCTTGAGCTCGCAGACATCGTGCATTACAAATTTGGGAGATGGAGTATGAAAGATATGGACGTTTAGCAGCTGGGGAAGCTAGAATGAAAAATGAGCTGCATGTTTTTTGGAGCTTGACCAATACTGAAAAGGATATTTATGCCTCAGCTACTTCAGTTTTACCATTCTTTTAAAATCCATCTACCACCTATATGGAAATACACGCCTAAATCAATGCATTGCTTTACTTTCTGCAGCTTATTTTTCAACTTTATCCATTTTAATTCCTCTGCATTGTACAGTATCAGTGCACAGGAAGGTCAAATAAGTAAATACGGATTCTTACTGAGCATTACTGTATATGACTAAGCTTTGGAAAGACCACACAGAGCCTATTTTAGGCACAACACAAGTGATGTTGCAGACAGAAGAGTATACAACATACAGGAGAATGCAGCAGGATTTTGTTTGTTTTATTGCTCAACCCCAGTCCAACTCCGTAGAGACCAGAAAACTCTAAACAGCTTTCAGGCCGCATTCTTGTAGTGCCTCAGCTTTCATAGAATCATCATATTAAGTCGTCAAGAAGTATGCAACAAGCAAACATTTAGCTGACAAGACATCGATAACCACTATCCCGAAGCATGAAGCCCGCTCGGTTCTGTACCAAAGGGATCTGTAATCCGACCCTCCTGGAAAACCAACACACAGCGCTCCCCTTCGATCAGATATAATTTTCTGTCTTGCTGTAACAGAGAATCCCCTTCCCACTGCACATTCACACATAACTCAACACTCCCCTCTCAAGCCCTTCATTAAAATCCCATCAGGCACATCACATCCAACCCCTGCATTTAATATTCACCGAGTGAAACTCGAACACGCCATCGACCGGAGACAAAGCCCTCATTGTCTTCTTGAGAAGCCTCCTGAAACCAAAGAAATTCAGTTTCCATCGATCCACAAACGCCACATCACCACTTTCCTGCCCTGCTTTAAATTATACGCGAAGGCTTTTTCTGTGTTATTGTTTGACTCCAGCCAAGACCCCGGCTGACAATGCCAGTAAATACGCCGCAGAGAGGGAAAG